GGGTTTAGGGTTTGGGGTTTAGGGTTTAGGGTTTAGGGTTTAGGGCTTAGGGTTTTCAGGTTCAGGGTTCAGGGTTTAATGGTTTAGGGGTTCAGAGTTTAGGGAGTTTAGGTTTCAATCTTAGAGATTTAGAATGCTCGCCGTCTTTCCTCCAGTTGAAAAGGCAACGCATAGCATCCTAGCGGGAAAATCACGCATGATTCCATATTTGCTGTTGTCATATTTATATTCGGGTATGTCCATTGGTTCCACTTTTGGGATTGTTTCAACATAACTACTAACTAGAAATTGTATGATTTAGATATAAAATGGATGCAAAGTACGTATTCTAACAGCTATGTTGAAACCATTGATGGCACAGAGCAAATAGAGGAGCAGGTAATCATGGACAATAGGTTACAACGATGTTGCACCCGGTCATCGGAGTTTGTGAAAGCAATTGTTTTTTTGTCTGAAGAGTCTGAAGAGTTCTAAAAAATCTAGTCATTATAAATGTCTGATAAAAAGCGATGACAGCGACATAAAGCAAGGTCTTTTCATCAATGCTAAAGGCGTGTCTTGCATGCTTTGTAGATGTATGAGGCAGTCATATCATCACGAAACACAAGCTGTGAAAGAAAGCAAGCAATAACAACTAACGTAATTGAAGATAGGAATAATTTCAAATTGGGTGGTTCCGTGTGTGGCTATACCATAGGCATATCACAAGAGTGTGGCAATGGTTAATAAATTTGGAGGTGTTCCCTGCACATTGCTGCTTTTGTTGCCAGATGCCCCTAGAAATGTTGATTTTTTTGTTAAAATGTTGGAAGATTGGTTCAGTCTAAGTATGTTCAAAGACTAGACTTTATAATAATAAGATGGAGAAGAGAATATGTAAATCGTGCTGTGCATCAAAGGATGATGAGGACTTTGACATGTTTAAGACATGTAATTAATGCCGAGAAGCGAAACGAATATGCTACAACAAAAATCAGAAAGAATATAACCAGGCGAGAAGAGAAGAGACAGCAAGGGGAAGCCAATTCTGCGTAGAATGCCGACATAATGTAAAGCACGTAACTGGGATGCCCATTTCCATATGCGTTACATCCGAACTCGGATCTAAATGTATTGATGAAAGGTTATATAACTAAATTAGGTAATTCAAGGAAAGAAGGCAAATTACACGACAAATCACGATCAGGAGTTAAGGCAGAATACGAAAAGCAGAAAAAGGAATTACGCAAACGATTTTAACGAACAGTTTCCCAATAAAGTTTGATGAAGAGGAACCACCAGAATCGCAACCTGAACCCAAGAAACCTAAGCTCGATATCGACAAATTGTTTAATCACGCCCATCAGCTACTCCTGAATGATGTGTTTTTGAGAAGATTCAAGTGTAAGGGCAGAATTATTATTGAATTTCCAGTTGGTAAGTCATACGCATAATGTACCTATGATCCTCAAGCTGTTGCAAATCATGCCTACACTATGGTTTTACCTTATTGCTATTGTCGGTATTTTATTACAGAGTAGCATTTCCATTTTCTGCGCTTCGGTGTTTCGGGTTGATACTATTAGGTTTTCTGTCGGGCGGGTATGGTATGGGTTTTCTTAACTAGCAGCATCCGCGAGAGTCGCCCAGCTTAGGCCACGACAGGCTTGAACGCCCGGTAACTTAAAGTTACAGACCAGTGCTCCGCACCGAGGTGCAAAGCAAGCACTGTGTGTGTGTGTGTCCGGCACGAGTGCCCACAGCAACACACAGGCAAAAACGAGTAGCAATGCCCAAGATGGAAAGAAAAGCACCACTTCGAAAGTTGATATGTACTCACATGGGGTTGAGGATGTTGTCGTCTATGGGGTAGTGCATGGTTCCATAGCATGGTTTCTTCAGGTGGATTTTGGTATGGGTCTTCCTTTCGGTGGCTTGAAGGTTGTGGCATGGGTTGTTATGGTTTAGGTCTTCAGGTGGCCTAGGGGGGTGGGCATGGTTATGCAATGGAATGGTGCTGTACCTGCGAACTGATTCACCTCCAGAGGCTTAAACTTTGGCCCCCTAGCCTAAGCTCCTAAGCCCTTCAAACCTGAGCCCTAAACCCTCTAAACTCTCAACCCTCAAGCCCTAAGCCTCGACACCATAAACCCTATAAACCCTATAAACCTGAAACCCCCAACCCCCCTCCCCCCCCCCCAAAAAAAAAAAAAACAAAAAAACGTAGTAAAATAGATAAAACAAAGGTAAAAAAAGACAACTGAAACCATGCCAGGAAGCTGCAGATCGCTTCTTCCAAGCCGAGGAGGCGCCAGCACACACCCAATAGAGGGCAAGTTTAGGGTTTAGGGTTTAGGGATTTTTGGGTTTAGGGATTTTAGGGTTTAGGGTTTATAGGGTTTATTGAGTTCATGAAACCCCTAATTCGGGTTTAGCGTTTACACAAAACTAGGGTCCTCCCCCCAAACCCTAAACCCTGAGCCCTAAGCCCTAAGCCCTAAACCCTAAACCCTAAACCCTAAACCCTAAACCCTACACCCTAAACCCTAAACTCTAAACCCTAAACCCTAAACCCTATCCCTACCCCCAGAAGCTCAGGTCGTGGCCGGCCAGCTACGGGCCTTCGTCCTCATGAACGCAGCCCGCGACGTGTTAGAGGCCGGGGTTTAGGGTTTAGAGTTTAGGGTTTAGGGTTCAGGGTTCAGGGTTTAGGGTTTAGGCCTTTACATTCTTGGGGTTCCCTGTTGGGGGTTCCTGTGAGGATCCTTTCAGAGATCTACAAGCCCAGGCTCCCACCACAGCCTTCACGTGGTTGAGGATTTCCGTACCCAACCCTCACGGGTTTCCCTACTACTCCCCTCTATTATTACTGGATTATCCCTAAATCGCCTTAATTCTGGCGGGAACCTAGGGGAGTAGTAGGGAAACCCGTAAACCCCTGCGATGATGTGCAGGAGTTTTGCTGCAATGGACGAAGAACGGCTAGCGTTTCCATTTTCTGCTTTGACTTTATCTTTCCATTTTCTGCCTTGACTTTCTCTTCGCCTTGCTGAATGCCCCTAAACCCTAGACCCTAGACCCTAAACCCTAAACCCTAAGCCCTAAGCCCTACGCCCTAAGCCCTAAACCCTAAACCCTATACCCTATACCCTAAACCCTAAACCAGCCAGGTTCCTGATGTCGGGAAGATCTCCCTGGATCATTTCTCTAACACGGTGCAGGCTGCGCTAACATAGGGGTCGGAGAAATTTCTCATGAAAAGTATTCCCGTATGGTCCCTGCATAATTATACTAGAATAACCCCGCAACTCCCTATTCTAGTCATTAAGGCCCCTCTATTACTCTTACAACTTGAGCCTCTATGGTCAACCGCGCGCAAGCTTGAGAGACCTGAAGTCCGATACACCTAAGCCAGGGTCCTGAGAGGTATCTTGCTTAAGGATGGGGTTCTCAAAGCCTGGAGGGTCCAGAGTTTAGGGCGCGAGGTGATCCAAACCACAAACCCAAAACCCTCGTAAAGGACCACGCTCCTAGGTTGGATAAAGGGGACCCTTAAAAGGGAGCCCTTCTGAACCCTCTTCTGGCTCTCTTAAAGAGGGACCTTATTGAGAGGGTCTATATCCCCAAGGGCCCCCCTAATCCTATCCCCTACACGCAAAGCATCAAGTCAAGTAGAGCCCCGCTAGCTGGGACTCCAGAGCTGCCCAACTAGTGGGCTCAGGACCATTTTGGGTCCGACCTAGATGTCCTAAATCCTAAACCCTAAACCCTAAACCCTAAACCCTAAACCCTAAACCCTAAACCCCAAGGCCTCCACAAGAGGGACCAGGAAGCGGAGAGCTGTCCAACTAGCCGGGGCTTAGGGCACTTTGGGGGTTCGACCTAGATGTCTCAGAACCCTAAACCCCAAACCCTAAACCCCAAACCCTAAACTAGGCCCTAAACCCTAAACCCTAAACCCTAAACCCTAAACCCTAAACCCTAAACCCTAAACCCTAAACCCTAAACCCCAAACCCTAAACCCTAAACCCTAAAGCTTCCTCTCCAAGGCATGGTACCACGGCAGGGTTTAGGGCTTTAGGGCTCAGGGTTTCGGATTTTGGGCTCAGGGGCTTAGGGTTTAGGATTTTGGGCTCAGGGGTTTAGGGTTTAGGGTTTAGGGTTTGGGGTTTAGGGTTTAGGGTTTATGGTTTTGGGCTCAGGGTTTAGGATTTTGGGCTCAGGGGTTTAGGGTTTAGGGTTGTGTAGGTATGAGGGCGGTAGTTAACCCAAAATAGGCGATCACCAGTTCGAACTACAGCCAAGCAAAGGCCGAAGGGAGGCAGCTACCGAGCAGGGATACACAGAACCTGAAACCCTAAAGCCCTCAACCCCAAGACCATAGGGTTTAGGGTTTAGGGTTTAGGGTTTAGGGTTTAGGGTTTAGGGTTTAGGGTTTAGGGTAGGGTTTAGGGTTTGAGGTTTAGGGTTTAGGGTTTGAGGTTTAGGGTTTAGGGTTTATGGTTTAGGGTTTAGGGTTTAGGGTTTAGGGATCATTGCCGCAGTGTTTCAACTGGGAAGCTGCCCCATCCCTTGCAAAGGTCTCAATAGACAGGGAGACAACAGCCCCAACTTTCCAACCTTCCCACCTGGTTTTTGCACAGCTCCCAGCACTGCACTTCCCTAAGCCCTAAGCCCTAAACCCGAAGCCCGAAACCCAGAAAACAACCACCAGGGGCAAACTCTTATGCTGAGCCCTCAGGAGCCCTCCAAGGAGAAGAACCGGGCTCCTCCTAGCCCCAAGCCCTCAACCCCAAACCCGAAACCCTAAACCCCTAAACCCTAAACCCTAAACCCTAAACCCTAAAACCCTAAAACCCTAAACCCCTAAACCCCTAAACCCCTAAACCCCTAAACCCCTAAACCCCTAAACCCCTAAACCCCTAAACCCCTAAACCCCTAAACCCCAAACCCCAAGCCAATGAGCTGCCAAACTGCGTGCTCACGCCGGCGATGCGCGCTGCGGCGACGGCGAACTTGCCATGTTTGATCGCAGCGCCTTGGCCGAGAAGCCGGGGAACCCTATACTCTCCGCACTAAACCCTGTGACATGTGGTTTAGGGTTTAGGGTTTAGGGCTTGAGGTTTGATGAGAAGTTGAAGCCCTAAAACCTAAATCCCCAAACCCTAGCATCCCTGAAGGCCGAAACAAAACCACAAAACCCCAATCCAAGCATCCCAGAGCCCTCTAAACCCCTAAACTCCTACAACCCATTCACCCTCTACCTTCAAGCCTATACCCTCAACCCGTAAACCCCTCACTTGTAGGTTTTGGGGTTTAGGGGCCCCCCAAAAAGCAACCCAAAACCCATGTGGAATCCCCTAATAAAGCCCTGGAATCCTAATTCCTTAAACATCCCAAAACTTCCTAAATCCCAAACTCTTACATCCCCTTGAAGCCCGCAACGCAAGGATATGAGAAGCTGCAGATCCTGGGAAGCGGTGCATACGGCACCGCTCTGCTTGTGCGCGAGCGATCGGGGGGCGGCACAAAGCCGCGCGGGCAGAATTGCTTCGGTGCTTAATCTCTAAACCCTAAACCCTAAACCCTAAACCCTAAACCCTAAACCCTAAACCCTAAACCCTAAACCCTAAACCCTAAACCCTAAACCCTAAACCCTAAACCCTAAACCCTAAACCCTAAACCCTAAACCCTAAACCCTAAACCCTAAACCCTAAACCCTAAACCCTAAACCCTAAACCCTAAACCCTAAACCCTAAACCCTAAACCCTAAACCCAAACCCTAAACCCTTAACCCTAAGCCCTAAACCCTAAAGCCTAAACCCTCAACCCTGGGGTTCAGAGCCTCTTGGGATGGAGCTTGGGCTTAGGGTTCCGTTGCAACCTTTTAGTGGGCTCAGAAACCACATAAACATCAGGGATCCTACTATCCGGGGGATTCGGGAAAGCCCTCTTGCTAGGTGTTTACGTGGCTTTTTGTCCCCTATACCTTTGGGTTTCTGAGTCGCACCTCGTACCACTCCAGGTATGTCGCGAAGGAGATCAATGCGGCACACTTGGGCGAGAAGGCGCGGCGGGTCGAGCGTTTCGGTGGGTTTGTGATCGCAGGGACTTGCCGGTAGTATGGGAGCTTATTTAAATCGAGTGGTGAAGGTCCGACGCCCTCATACCTGCAGCCATACAACTAGGAACCACATTCGAAACAACGATGAACTCCTTTAAACAGCTAAGGAACCCCCAAGCCCTTGCAGGAGAGACAGCTTGCCTTGGCGGAAGCGGATGCGCCGCGCCCAGATGGTAAGTCGTGGCGGGAAGCTGCTAGTAAACCCCCAAATGCTCACGAATTTGTGCAGCAGTGCAGGTAAACCCTAGCTGAAGGGTCAGTTCTCTAAAGAGGCTCCAGTTTTCTGCGATGACGTAGAGAACTAAACTAAACCCCAAAAAACTCAATTCACAACTCAGTTTGTTTGCCCCAGCAAAGCACCTTGAGCAGGTCTTGCGGCGGGTGTCCCACGCGAACATCATCCGTGGCGTGACAGGAGTTGAGCATCAGTATGTACAGACAGCACGAACATCTACAAGAAAAAAACACCATCAGATAGAAGCAGAATGGTAGCAAAAGGTGCAATTCATTAATTAGCAAATGACTCTTCCATGGACTATACGTCTAGGATGCCCTGTAGTACCCTTACTCCCTTTTTTTGGGGGGGTTTAGGTTCCCTTAGAAACCCCTTTAAGCAAAAAAGGGAGCACCCTTTTTCAGCCTCGGTTACTGGGCAGACTAGATGTGGGTGTCCTCCGCGCGCCAACAAAGGCTACGTCGAGTCCTTCATGGAGGGGCCGAAGTTGTGCCTTGGGGTTGGCTTAGGGATTTAGGGATTTAGGGGTTTAGGGGTTTAGGGTTTAGGGTTTAGGGGTTTAGGGTTTAGGGTTTAGGGTTTAGGGTAGCTTGTTGTTGAACTTCCTCTGGGCCCAACTAAAGCACTGGAAACACCTTTAGGGTTTAGGGTCTAGGGTTTAGGGTTTATAAGGGTTTAGGGGTTAGGGTTTAAGCTTTTTCGGGCCCCCAATCCCAAACCCTAAACCCTAAACCCTAAACCCTCAACCCTAAACCCTAAACCCTAAGCCCCCCCAACGCCCACCTCAGGTACATCGTCATGGAGTACGCAGACAACGGGGACCTGGCCGTGCAGATCAAGCGTCGCAGTGAAGCGCAAGGAGCCACGGCGACCCGAACAAATGGGGGTTTACCATGGACCCTTAGGGTTGTACCCTTGGGTTTTGGGGATCCTGTTTAAAGATCCCTAGCGCAGTATAAGGGCCTTATTGGGAGCATATTAAGGGGAACCTTCAGGGGTACGACCTCAGCTGCATACCTTGACCGAAAGAATGGGGAGGTCTTTGGACCCTGCAGGAATCAAATCTTCCACCCTAAAATCGTTTCAGCCAGTTCTTATAACAAAATCTTGAATTCAACCTCTCATCGATTTTGCATGTATATAGACAGCAACTTCAACCAACAGCCCACCGAGATCCACCTAAACACCTTGTGGCAAGTCAGGAGATGGCGCAGGTAGGAGGCGTCGAGATAAGTCCCCTTCAGCCCCAATGCGAATGGCACAAAGCCCCTAAACCCTGAACCCTAAACCCTAAACTACTTTAGCAGATGCGCACGAATGAAATGCAGGGCAGGGATTTGGCTTCAGACCTTGCAGGGTTTTTTGCTTCTGGCCAACATCAGGCCCTGGTAGTCGGGCCTCGTCCTTGCGCCCCAGGAGGAGCTAAAACCAGAAAAAGGTAAAATCGTTATACAGGGGTTAGGGTTGGGTTCAGGGTTTAGGGATTAGGGTTTAGGGTTTAGTGTAGCTCGTATTTACTGTCGGTGCTTAGAGCCTCACGTACACCAAGCCCTTGGAACCCTGGAACCTGCTTGCCCCTACAAACCCCAAACCCCTAGAAGCCCTCGAGCCGCCGCTTGGCCCCCTAAACCCTTGCTGCGAGGTACGGACCTTGGTCGAGCTTGTATCCTTGGCGTTGTACTTTTGCCTCATACCGGATGAGCTAGGCTCGAAGGCAGCAAGGTCTCCACCCCATTTTTTAAAAATGCTCATGATGTATAGAAGAAGACAGGGACAGCAGACAACATCATACGAAGTGTACAGTTGTTTTTCTTGTGTGCCTTGGCTGTGATAAAGTGTCCGCTCTGCCCGCAACGCGGGTTATGAGCCCGAAACACGCTATAGATCTGTAGTTGAGCCATGGATGGGGGCGATGGGGATCCAAACTATGAGGAGCAGTTAGAGACAGCGCCAGAAGAAGGGGGTAGTTTTATGGGCAACGTTGGCGGAACAGAAGAGGAGAACGATGAAGAGTTCGCCGATGAAACACGGCACCCGCCATATTCGAGGTCCGGGTTGTCCCCGGGCACAGTCCATAGGAATGTGGCGGCGGGGCATGATGCTACATACGGGCTGGGGGCCATAGAGAGACAGCTATTGGGAGATGCAGCAGAGGATCAAGCTTCTTTGCACTCGGCCGTTGAGTCTATCGGGGGGACAAGGAGGTCGCAGCGACAAGATGGCTCTCCAGCCAGCAGAGAGCTGCGAGTGAGAGACGCAGCCGATGAGCAAGAGCTAGTTCCCGACTATGGGTCACCCTTGCACTCGCGCATGGGAACTCAGGTGGGGCCTGGCTTAGCAGCGGCAGCGCCTGCACGTGCTGCAGGAGGGTCTGTCCAGGCAAGTGCAGAACCGGGTCAAGCGCCGGCGATTGCAGCTATGAGCGAGATGATGTCAAGCATTATGGCGGCTCAGTTGCAGCCATTAGTTGCCAGGTTGGAACAGTTGGAGTCGCGATCGCAAAGTGGAAGCGGAGCGCGCCCAGGCAGCGCGACGTCGGAACTTCTGTTGGAGCCTAGAATGGCTGAGCTGAAGCTGGAGGCACATGATGTACGGCTAGCTGCGGGATTCCGCTCGCAGGAGCCGGACCTACTAGCAGAAGCTGCGCGACCGATAGCACATCTAGACCTACCAGCCAATCGGCAGGGTGTACAGACAACTCACGGCCGCCCCGGGGAGGATCCTCGAATAGATAGTCTCACGCGTATACCCCGTCAAGTGGAGGGAATTGCTGCGCCCAAGCTGGACGGGTCCGTAGGGGTTCCTATGGAAGGTGTGACGGTGGTTGGGGGAATAGCCCATGCCTGGCAGGTGACTGCAGCGGGACTTCAGTTGTTTCCAGTACCGGACGTAGAAATGAAAGAAGGAGCGGAGGTCACAGAGTCTCAAAACCAGAGTTTAGGGACGCCTGGATTGATGCAAACTGGATCCGAGAGATACAGGAGGGAATCGAGGGAACGTGAGCGAGGTCGGGGAGTGTGCAGAGAAGCTGAGAGGCAGACTCCGGGAGCGCGGCTGTCAGATGTCTTGTCGGGTAGGCTCCCATCTCCTTTCCAAGCCACAGCACCCTCAGAGCCATCAGGTAAAATGGGCACAAGGTCCCCAGAACGAACAAGAATACTGAAGCCAACAACCTCAGACCCATTGCCCAGGACGGATCAGGCTGTTAATGATCTGCAGGAGCCTCGCCTTCAGAGGCATCAACTGGAAGCGGGCAGAAGTGGCGCAGTGAGCCCAGGGCATCAGACAAGACACACTACGCCGGTGAGATACACGAGAGCAGGTTACCCGATATCCCCTGGAGGTACAGAAATCAGACCCCCAGGCCGCCCTCAATCGCCGAAACGGAATGCTCATGAATCCCCACCGCGCGCTAGGCCGGAACAAGCTGCTGCACCATCGTCAGACATTCAGCAACTAATTGCGGCGCTTCAGGCCCTGCAACACCCAAAGTCCACCGAAAGCCGCGTAGAAGATGTGAAGACTATCCCAGAGTTGCCCAAGCTGGAAGTGAAAGAAAATGAGAAGGATCTCACGCCGCTGCTAGCTGGGGATTGGCTAGCTTTGGTAGGGCCCAGCATGAAGGATTTATCTGCTACTGCTTCAACATGGTGGCTAGAAGTGTTGCAGGTTAGTCAGGAGTTTTACGCTGCTTGGCTGTCGTCAACCCCTATAGAAAGAATAGCCCTGAAGCCTGCGCGACCAACTAGATTCGAGGATGGCCCCTATGCTCGAGTAGAACAGCGCGCTGTGTCTCTACTCCTGAAAGCCATTCCCGCAAGCATCAAGGAAGAGGCAGTGGCTCAGCGTAGGCTCTCCTCAATAGAGCTTGTGGGGTTGGTGCTGACAACCTTCCAACCTGGAGGGTTGAGAGAGCGCAGTGCTCTGCTCAAATTCCTGACGGCGCCAGAAGCGCCCCAAGCAGTAGGGGAAGCCCTCAGAGGGGTTCGGCGCTGGATGCGTTGGATTCGACGGGCCACTGAATTAGGGGTAGCCATTCCAGACTCGACTCTCTTGATTTCTGGACTAGACACTCTCACGAGTAAAGCCCTTGTCGGTTGGCCAGAAGCCCAGTTTAGAATCCAAACATTTCGCCATCAACATAGTATAGATCACGTGCCTACAGAGTCGAAAGCGATGAGCCTTGGCCAGATGTTGCAAGCCGAACTGCAGGTTATTGAGGGCGCCGCTTCAAACAAGAAGCCCAAAGTAGCCAAAGTGACTGATGACACCCCTGGTCAAGGACAACCTAGTGAGCCCACAAAAGGGTTAGGTAAGCACAAAAAGGGTGATGGGTTGAAAGGCGCAGATGGCAGTGCAAACAAAAACTGCTATCATTGGATGTCTAAGACAGGGTGCAAGATGGGAAAGAATTGTCGGTTCCATCATGACCGCGTCGCACTCAGTAAAGCCGCAGATGTGGCGTCCAGATGCTACGCGTGCAGCGGTGTGGGCCATAGAGCTGCCGAATGCAGTTCCCAGAAGAGTGAGGGAGGGACTGAAAACGAGAGATCCGTAAATGAGCCTCCGAAATCTAAGGGCAAAGGGAACAAGGGGGGTAAACACACTGCGGTAAAAAGAGTCGAAGAAGAGGGACCCCGGGTCACTGATGAGTCGGCGAGGCAGGATAGCGGACAAACAGAGCACGTGCAATTGCTTAAAGAAGCAACGTCGTTGCTGAAACAAATGCAGGCGAAAGCACTGCGGGCCAAACCTAATGTGTACCGCATTGCGAACGCTCAGAACAGGACCGGGCTATTGGACTCAGGAGCGTCAAATTGTTTGCGAAAGGCAGTTGGAGAAGAAACAGAGCATCTCGTGAAGAAGAAAGTTGACTTAGCTCATGGTTCGGTAGACCTTTACGCGACGCCATGCGGGACGTTGGTAACGCATGATGATGTAGAAACCATAGTGGCAGTAGGACCACTTGTCAGAATGGGGTGTCGTGTGAGTTGGGAAAAAGACACTTGCGTCTTGTGGCATCCCACGCGTGGGTCAATTCGAATGGCAGTTGAGTCGGGCTGCCCCAGAATGGAAGAAGGTCTAGCCCTGGAATTGATTCAGGAGATAGAAGAGCATCGACGGCAGTCGGTAGGGGCAGCTATCCGGGCACTCAGCGTACGGGCGTCGGGAGAGGGATGCACCGTAAAAGCCCAAACTAGAACCTTAATACAGGCAGTGGCTCAGGATGAACAGGTCGCTGCGGCCTTGGGGGACATGGTTACGACCTGTTGGCCAAAGGTCCCCATACAGCTTCTGTTGGAGCTTTCGAGCTGGGCTGCTGAGGACTCAGCTGCACTAGTATGGAACCGTCGGAAGAGGCGGAGCATAGAGAGGGCAAAGAAGGTGCTGGTGCACATGTTCTGTGGGGAATCACGGGCGGCCATAGAGAGGTTGGGAGAATCTTTGGGCTATGTGGTGATTTCGGTGGGCGAGGGTGAGGACATAACATCCGCGCAGACCTTTAGATATGTGTTGCAGCTCGCTGCTGCAGGAAAAATTGACGTTTGCTGGGCAGCTCCTCCGTGTGGCACTAATAGCATATGTCGATTTGTGGAGCCGGGCCCACCTCCATTGCGGAGCAGAGGCGGCTTAGAGAGATGGGGGCTGAAGGACCTTACTCCTGCCCAACAGGCCCAAGTGCAGCATGCAGATGAGATGTACTTGCGTATGCTCCTGATAATGCATGTGGCGGTGGTCGCACGAGAGGACATGAAGTTAAGTAAGCCGTGGATGTTGGTAGAAAACCCTCAAGACCCAGAAGAATACCTTCAAGAGCAAAGCACTATCATGCAGAAAGCCAATCAGAGCGGAAAAGGA